AACCGCGGCGCTGCCGGTCTCCCTGGCGCGCCGGGCGGGTTCTCATCGCGCGCGACAATCGTCGAGCCTCCCCTCCGTCGTTTCCCCTCCCCCCCCTCGCCGCGATGCTGCGTGAAACTTGCACGCACGAATGATTCTGTAACTGAAAATTATTTCTTTATCGATTATTGATTGATGTAGGTTAAATATAATAGTTGAATGTTATACTCGGGCATTCGTCAAAAAAATCGTGACATTTCTGATATATTATATGAATACAAACGCGCGCGTGTAATATAAAAACAATTGATGTGTCGAATGTAAGAAAATATTATTCGTACGCATATTTGAGAAAACTAATTTAGAATTAGCGAGAGGTCAAATTGACAGAAAGATTGAAAACCAACGAAAATTTGTAAGAGTGTTATGTAAACAGAAAAATAATCATAAGACTAAATAATACACACGTGTTTAGATCAAATGGAATAGAATATGAGCACATATATTTCCATAAAATTATATGTAAAATGAAGATTACGTATATAAAATTATGTATATATTAAAAATAATTAAATAAATTATATTTACAATATATATATAACATTTTTTTATTATCTTACTTTTTATCTCTTTTATACTTATCTCTCTTTTTTATTTATTTAAGTTTTAAATTAAAAAAATAAATCCAGTATTATATAATGAAAATACAATTCTATTTATTCCAACGCTGAAAAACATCTAGTACTTTACTAAATTTTTACGTTTTTACACTTTAGCCCTAGGGAAAAATCGCTGTCTTGAATATGATTACTCGATCAGTCGATTGTTCATGAGAATTTAGCTTGATATTATAAGATATGGAGAATTATGAGTGCACGAGTTTACGAAGGATATAGTGTATAGGTGTATAATATAGTCACTTGGAATATATAAATTTATTGTAAAGATTGAGAGGCCAATATAAGAAAATAACACATTTAATTTAAACTCGAGTATATGTGCTGGATAATTCTCTAAACATCCTAAAAAGAATTTAAATATTCATCTTGATCAGTTTGTGTTTTTTTATTATTATTTAATTGCCTAACAGCTAATTATATTTAATTCATTAATTACATTTAATTATTCAAGTTTTCTCATATTTATATATTATGATTAAAGTAAAAAATATTCAAATATAAAAACTTATTGAAAAAAGTTTAATAAATTAGTCTACATTGTTTTATGAGATACACATACGAAATTTTAACTTTAAAAGTTTTAATTTTAATTTTTTATAAAAATTGCAGTTGTGATTTTAAAATATATAATGACCAACGCAAGTGTTGAGGAAATATTGACAACTAATGTGGAAGATGAAAAGGACCCATATGCATATCTTGAAAGAGATGATTTCACATCCGAAAAATACAAGATAGAAATACGTGGTTTACCCAAATATTATGGAATTGGTGAATTTAAGAAATTGCTAAATGAGAAACTGGACTTACAATCGTGCAAAGTAAAGCCACCCAGGAAGGGTAGTGGTTGGTTGTACGTATGCTTCAGAAATGAAGAATGTCGTCAACGGGCAATAACTACTATAAATGGAATTTTATGGAAAAATAGTAAACTTACTGCACAGGTATTTTTTTATTTTTTCCCTAGAAATTTTTTAACTCAAATTTAAATAATATTATAATTTAACATTTTAATTATAATGAGTTTTCTTGATAGGTGGCTAAGCCAGCTCCAGATCCATTTGTGAAAAGAAAGTTAGAAGAAGAGTCTAGTAATAAACGTCTGAAAACTGATAGTGAAGATTTAAATTGCTCTCCTATGGATAGAATTAAATTTATTACTACTCCTTTATGGAATATGCCATACTCAAGTCAAGTAAGAATTTTTTTTGGATTTGTATTGAAAAATATTAAGTCTCCAAAAAAATAAATAAATGTATATATATATTTTTTTAGTTAGAATTCAAGCAGAAGGAAATGAAATCTATTTTGATGAAAATTGGTCAACAAATTATTAGAGAAAGTAAATCAATGACAGATTGGATAAATTCACAAAAAAAGTTATATGATGGATTGCCTTGCAAACTACAAAACATACTTTCAGCAGATATTATTGAAGCATACAGAAATAAATGCGAGTTCACAATTGGTAATTATGATAAATTTGTATATGAATTGAGTTATTATTACAAATATGAAGATTTTACCACATTTAATTTTTTTTTATGATACAGGTAAAGACAGTGAGCAAAACAAAATTACAATTGGATTTAGATTATCAAGTTATGCTTCAGGTTCTACGGCAGTTGCACCTATTGATAATCTTTGTCATATTCCTAAAAGTATGAAAACTGCTGTAAAGGTAAATTTCTATCATTGATTTCTTCAGATATTGTAGGTTTTATTGATTTAAAATCTAAGATTTCAACATTACATATATATATATATATATATATATATATATATATATATATATATATATACTTTCAGGTATTAGAAACATTTGTAAACGAGTCAAACTTGGAACCTTTTAATCCAGTCTGCCATAGTGGATACTGGAGACAAGTTACCGCTCGAACTACTCGTGCCAATCATTTGATGTTGATAGTAGGAATACATCCTCAGGATTTAAGTAATGAGGAATTGGACAAGTTAAAATCACAGTTGCGTATATTCTTTGAAGAAGGCGGAAAAGGTGCCGATGCTAATGTTACTTCATTATATTTTCAAACAATAGATAAAAAGTAAGTAAATATTATATAATATTGTATGAGTAAAAGCACTATATTTTTATTTGTGCAATATTTCAATTTGCAGGAATGCAGGTAGTGAAAGTAGTGGCACCTTATATCATGTTAATGGTACGGAATATATAGAAGAAACGCTACTCGGATTGAAGTTTCGGGTTTCGCCTCAGGCATTTTTTCAAGTCAATTCATCGGGAGCGGAAGTTCTGTACAAGGCGGCGATCGATCTTGCCCGACCAACAAAGGATATGGCACTACTTGATGTTTGTTGCGGCACTGGAACCATAGGACTCTGCTTTTCAAAGGTATTAATCATAATTATATATAATTTTCTGAAGATATATTACATATACATATATACATCATAAACATAGTGTTCATTGTTGCAGCATTGTGGCGAAGTATTAGGAATAGAAATTATTCCCGACGCGATAAAAGACGCAAAAGAAAATGTTATCAAGAATGGTATTACTAATTGTGAATTTTTCGTCGGAAAGGCGGAGGACATTTTATCGCCTGTCATTCAAAGGACGACAAAATCCAATATTACTGCTATTGTGGATCCACCACGAGCTGGCTTGCGTAAGTTATATACACATATATATAAATAAGATTTATAAGATTTTTTACAATGTTATAGAAATGTTAGAGACAGCTTACCTGCATGTTGATTTTTTTCTAGATCAAAAGGCTTTATTGGCACTACGCAAGGCAAAAAAGTTGAATAGATTAGTGTACATATCGTGCGATCCTCGTGCTGCCATGAAAAATGTAGTCGATTTAGCACGACCTAGTTCAAAGCAATACCTTGGTGAACCCTTTGTACCAGTAAAGGCCATTGCGGTAGATATGTTTCCTCATACTAAGCATTGTGAATTAATATTGTGCCTTGAAAGGTTATCGAACGCGATAAAATTGAACGAGCACGAATGTAGCAATAAAAAAAATATAGAATAAAAAATGCTACAATGTTTCACCAACTTGCTTGCATATTTTTTTTATTTCATATTTTATATATTGGTTATATATATATATATATATATATATATATATATAATATTATATATTATATAATATATATATATATATATTATATGTTATATATATAATATATATATATATATATATATATTTAAAATACTCTTTTTTTTTTTAAAGAGCACGTATAAATAGAGAGAATTATTAGAAAACGTTTCATCAATATTTTATGCCAACAAATAATTCTATATCTTTACAAAAAAATCAAAAATAATTGCTTGATATTTTCTAGTAAATTATATCTAAAGTTTATATCTAAATAATTTTTTCTTTTTTTAATATTAATTATATTAGCGATGATTATATATATAACACAATTTAAATAAATCTTTAAATATCCTTTTTCATAATGCAGATTATTTAATATATTTCGATAAAATTTTGCTTAAATATAATAAAAGAGCATTTAATAATAATTTAGTATTTAAATAGAAGTATTTAAATAGATATATCATAAAAAGATTCAGAGATAATTATATAATAATGTTAAAAAGAAGGAATTAATATATAATAATATTATTAATATTATTTTAAATATTCTTGCAACATTTCAACTTTTATAGGATTTATATTAGTAAGATGCCTCTTGTTTTATATATTCTTGTTGATATAGTGAACATTACATTTTAATTTCGTGGCGTTGCACAATCGTAAAAAAAAATAACAATGCGAAAATTTGTCTATTTTAATCTTTAAAGTTCACGAAATAAAACATCCATTTATCAGCAATAAAACGCTATTATGAAAATCGTATATTTTTTTCCTTAAGCTCATCGAATAACATTAAATATAGAAAATAGTAGGACATAAAAAGTAAAATGCCACTTAAAAGAATAATCCATTTGTACAAAGAAAGCAGAAACCAAAAAAGTCTGCATGAGATTTAGGTTTATACCCAACTATTTCATTTTAATTGATATGCTTGAAGAGGGTCATTTAATATAGGCCTTTTCATTCATTTACTTTATATAAGCTAAAGAAGAAGTAAATATATTATAGATAATTTTTCCCTACATGTTTTACTTATGTGATCCGCGATAGAAGAGACGGGACGGCGATAGTCGCTGAGAAGAAGGACAAAGATATTTGTTTGGTGCGCCGGGGAAGAAGAGAATCGATTCGACATTCGACAAATACGAATAACCGCGCGAATCTGTGCTACTGTACGTTCTTGATTTTCACTTAATTACTTGACACTCTAACCAGGGAAAGCACTGTTAAAATCTCGTCGTCGTGTTGTTGCAGCTAAGTCGAGAAAATGATACGAAACGGCGCACTCTCTTTCGGTCTTCGAAATTGAGGAGAATTGACGGCGGCGTGGTCATTATCACTTCCTCTTAAAGCACGTAACAGCATTGAAGTAACAACGCCAAAAAGCAACTTGACCTTTGGTTTGACCTTTGGCTTGTCCGCGTCGTTGCAAATCCATCTAAAAAGGAGAAGAATTATTAAGGATGGGCGTGATAGGTGTGTTGAAAAAGATAATAGCATTAAAGAAAGAAATTCGTCTAGATGATTAAATTATACGAGTGAATTTAATTTTTTGCCAAGATTGTTGATGAAGATATTATATCTAAAATTATATTGCATCTGACACGATCAAACTTTTTTTGTATATTTTTATACTGAAAATAAAATTTGTTTAATGCTGAAGATAATACTATTTTCTTAACAATAAATATAATATTATTACAAGAATCCTAAAATATAAATTTAAATATAAAAACCTTCTCGAATAAAGCTACTTAAAAATTAATAGATATTAATATTGAATTCGCTACCGTTTGGTCATCCGTTTCAGAAATTTCCGAGTTGGCTATAAAACGTGGAGCTGATGACTTGCTTATGTCTCTACTTCCAACCACACCTTTTCCGTGATTATCGACGACTTTCTGTAGAGCTACCATAAGTTGATCAAATAATAGAGCCGCCCTCTTTGGCACTATTACCTGTAAGAAAATTAAAATTAAAAGTGAAATATATAAAACTTTTTTTAGTTTATACATTTAATAGAATGCTGTCATTGTTTAAAATATATATTTTTCTTTTTTCGTAAAAAAATATATGATCTAACTTAAAATCCAAAAATAATTTTCAAATGTTAAAAAAAATATATATATATATATATATATATATATATATATATCTTGAAATCTTTTTGATTTTCATGTAAAATATTTTTGGATACAATTAATCTCGATAATATTTAATGTGAATCAATAGGATATCAATGTAATTTGTTATTTCTAATATTTTATATTGTTCAATTATTTTTATTTGTATCAGAGATAGAATTGTGACAATTCTTTTTGCGTCTTTCGCAAAAAAAGTCCTTAATTGAGAGATTTATTTCTGCACATTCTATATATACAATTTACTTTTCCGATGAACATGTTACTAAAGTATCCTATAAGGTGACAAAAAACCAATAGGTTAAGGATTTTTTATTACCATTCTAATTGATTTATTTAATTGATAAACGCACGTCCATTGCATATTACTACTTGAGAGATTTAAGTAAAAATGGCAACTTATAAATAGAGAAAATTTTATCATATTAGTTATCCTGTCTATCAAGAATATTTATATTCGAACTAAACTTAACAAAAATTCCATTTTATAATGTACATTTGCTTTCAATTATTTCGTCTCTTTCCTTCTTTATCTTTTAAATATAGAATAAAATAATATTTGTAATGCATGTGTGTGTATATGAAAATATAAAATTTTTTTCTCGCGCATTTTTTTACGGCAATTGTTCGCGAAATTCATATTTTTCTTACTTACATTTAATTATAATAAATCTAATTTTAAATAATGCATCTCTTTCATTATCATCCACTGGATAATGAGCGAATAATTGCACCGCAGAAAGTTAATTAGAAGATATCGAATTTTAGTGAGCTAGTCGGGCAAGGAAACGCGTTCTTGAAATCGAAGAGAAGAAAATGTAGGAATCGAACCGTATCTGTTCGTTGTGACAAAAGAGGCAGTTTGTCTGTCTTTGGACTTAACAGTAGGACGAAAGATAAATCGACGATAAAAATAATGAGCGCTCAAGAGAATCCAGACGAGATTAAAGATACGCCCCGGTGCTCTTAGCCTTTTAGGTACAAATAAGAGAATAATCAGGGCGTGAAAGTGTCGATTATGAATTTTATTATCTATCTTCGAAACATAAAACAGTCATTATCAAAAGTATCATAGTCGAGATTAAAATATCAACAAGAATGTAAAAAAAATTGAAAATCAATCCTTTTAAAAAATCCGGGGAAACAGAACGCGTCATACATTAAAAAAGAAAGAAAAAAGTATGTGTAATATAATAATCCAATATGATAACTGATATATTTCGATATATTTTTGAGATAAAATTGTTCTCAAAATGCAAAATTTAATTTGTTTATTATATATATTTTATAATCTATCATGAAATTTAAATTGATATTTTGAATAATAGAAATTATAAGCAATTTTCTTATTTATAATATATAACACGGAAAATTAAAGTTTCTGAATATATCTGGAAAATCAATTATGAAAAATGAGGAAATAACAAAAAAAGCAAAAAATAAGAATTAAATTCAATACATCGATGGAAATTATCGATGATTTTAATTATTTTCGCATCTCAGTATTTTCACGGGCTATGTCGACAATGCACCTCTTTGGTTTCCTCTTTGATTACCAGCTTGACGTTCGACATCACTGTTCCCATCGAGAACGAATTCATATAGGTCAGATATTATTCTCAATACTATATGATCATTCTCTTTTAAATTTTATAAAGTCTTTCTCTCTCTCTTGTCAACACGCTTTCTTTTCGTATTGGCATCCTTCTTGCCTTGCGATCTCTTTTTTGTTTGCCTCCTTTTGGAACAGATAAATTTCATTCTTCAATTTGACTATTTTATTTTCTTTGTTGAAAAATTCTTTTTAATATGAGTTGCATATCTTTCCTTTTCTTTGCTTTATTTGATATCTTTCGTAGATACAAATTTTTTATGGATGCAGCTGTAGTTTTTTAATAACTTTTGCGAATAATTTTATATCGATTACTCATCGATATTAAAATGTGTTTGCTTCATTTTCACAAACGCTCGTAACATATTTGAAATTTCGATAAATCATGTATTATGCATAACATCAAATTTATATATTAGCTATCAACTCACATTAGCATGATTGATTACATGTTTCTACAATTAAATTATCATGATAATTTTTCGATTATCATAATGAAGTACGCTTAGGAGAAGAACCAATCCGATTATTCATATCATTGCTTCAGGCTGTCTCAAACTGCAGAAACAGCACATACTTAATTGACTCATTTATTACGCTCATAGGTTGCTTATTTATTATTTTGAAATGACAAATTAAATGAGAGATATCTAATTTACAATACAAAATTTTCTCTAAAGTCGTAGTTTTTATATGCTTACATATATCTATCTTTATGTACAGAATATGTTAAATCAACTCTCCAGATTAGATTAAAAAATTGATAAATGAAGAAAGAATAAGAAATCTGGGAAAAATATCTTGACTATTTACCTACATGTAATAATCTTCAAATATTCACGATTTTTACTCGTAACTTCGTCGCAAACGTCAAGATTGCCATGTCAGAATCTTTGTTCTGTACATTATATTTACCGAAGTAAATAAACAATCAACGTCACGTAACATTTCACGTTGCATTCTAGTTACCCTTTCTAGTTTATTCATTTTGGTCGATTTCCCAAAGGACACACCGCCGGACACTTTTCTTTCATTACTTGCAACGACATTTTCTAGAAAACGCACCCACGCAACTGGAATTTAGGTTCAATAAAGATTAGAATCGTAAGAGAACGTGAGAAGACATAAATCGCTTACTCGATGTAAGATGCACTCTGATCTCTTCTCGCGTGCGAGAAGCAACTTCCTGCATTCAAATAGCGCTCATTCATTGCCGATACACACACATACTGTTTGAAATACGTAATAAAACTATCTACGATATACTTTCGGCAAAAAAGCTTGATTTCCTGCGCTTTAAGTCTACTTCTGACGCGTATGTATCTTTAATTAATTGTATATTGTTATAGTGTACATAAATTGTACAGTGTAATATATTTATACACTGTACAAATATGTCATGAATGAAAAACCTTCTGAATCTAATTTAATTTTATTTAGAGAGAAAGATTTTAATTAATGTTTAACGATCATTAATAATAAATAACGATGACCTTTAGGATTGAAGGTTTGAGAGCAATTCATGAATAATTTGTAAATAAATTTGAAGAAAATTATCCAAACGCGTAAAATAACGCTATAATAATAGATATAATAATTAAAATTTCTTTTTTCAGCAAATGTCGATGTTAATTCTAATAATGACAATTAAGCATTAGTTTAATAACAAACTAATTTGCAAACTAATTTTCTTATCATTTGTTGGTTATCTTTTCATTATATTCAAAAGAAGATTGTACATCAATAATGATTTTACATATCAAGAATGATTTTACAAAATAAATAAGGAAACCACATAAACTTTGTCGAGAAGTATAGCAAATAGTTATATATTTAAACGAATTTTATCGAAAGAAATGAATAATGAAGATTTACGTCAAAGAACGTTCTGTAAAATTTAATTACTCGGTTAGTAATGTGGTTGAAATTCCGATAAATCCTAACATTTTATTTAATTTTAATATAATATTAAAAATTCTTGCACAGCACGAGAAGGGTAAAAAAAATCTCGTGAATGAGATTTTTTTTACCCTTAAAATCGATTTAGTAATAAACTTGCCCGACAAATGAAGAATATAAAAAATGATTTGAATTAAGAATGTTTTCTAAATTTTCATAAAAAAATTTTTTGGTGCTGTTTCTATCATTAATCCGATTGCAATTTTTTAATTAAAATATCCAATATTGATTGTCTTAAGGTATTAGACATCAAGAATTTTTATATAATCTTTTACTGTTTTTATAATAAAATAAATGTATAATAATAGTTTTCATAATAAAATAAATATATATAATTGTTTAAAATACGAAGAATACATATAAACATATGATTCATGTCAATATCGCTCGATTATGAATGTTGCGGTATTTGAACTGTTATCCTGGATTTGAAAACCGCCGAATATTCCAATCAATGTATGGACGCGAGTACAACTGCACTTGGCGGACTAATTTTTAGCGGGAAATACACATAGACAGCGAGCCGCTCGTGAAAGAGACGAACGGAAGAAAAAAGAAAGTGGAAACGATCGGCTGCGATTGTGATGCCGGACTAGGCAATCAACCGCCTTTAATTGCGACATTCATGGGTGCTTAAAAGCGTTATCGGCGGTTGCATTTTATTATTATTGTCACGCATACCTGATAAATGTTGAATTAAAGAGAAAAGTGAAATAGGATATCTACGGACGAAAATATCACCACACATTTTTAATTTTTCCCAAAACACTCGCGATTCATTCATATAGACAAAATGTACGTAGGTGCGCTCTTGTCCAAATGCGTTTGACATTCTTTGAATGTGCATCTCATGTCAAAGCCGCGAGCAGAGAGGTACCAAATAAATTGATTTGTTCATTCATGAAAACAATGAAGTTTTATAAAGTTAGCCTCTACCCTTCGAACAGCGAACAAAAGGTATAAAATGATAATTTCAGATTCGATTATGTCACACAAATTGTTAGAAATATGTATAAACATATTTATATGTTATAATACGTTTGTGTTAAAAGTGTTTTTAGCTGCAATTATAATCCCATTTATTTGACGAATGAAAATGCATTTGCTTTTCAAGATATTATTTTATGTAAAATTAAATCAATTTCTATCACGTACAATTTCTAAATTTGGAAAATTAATCTGATATATCACCTGATTTGAAATATTCTGGATAGGTTTTAAAAATAAAGAGAGAGACATTTTAAAT